ATCGAAGCACTAAAAAGGACTTTTGCGAGCGTGACGAAATTTGGTATGCAAAAACATCTTGATCGAACATGCAAATGATCAAAGTTTCAAGGCACCATGAACATAGCGCGCATTTCTATTGCGAAATTCGCAAAGTATAAAATCAGTAACAGAGGCAGAAAATTTAACTTTTTTTGTTGCTGCCATTGTAATTCCGTAAAGAAGCAACTAAAGATGCCATTACGACGATATCAAAGACCTTACAGAGAACTAAACGACTTCGAACATGGTCGCATTGTAGGATTACGTGAAGCTGGGTGGTCATACCGAGAAGGCTGCACCTGCAGCGTACAGACACTGCTGTGCAAAGGTGTTGGCAGCAATGGTTGCTACAAGGAAATTGCCGACGAAATGAAGGCTCTGGAAGGCAAAGGACCACAAATGCGAGGAAAGATAGGATGATTTTTCGCCAGGCTCGAAACGCCCCAACGGTAGCATTGTTGACTATTCAACGCACTACCAGGCACATCTATACTACCGTGGTACCGTCCACCATCTCAGTGCGCTTCTCTGAGGCGGGGTTATGCCTTTCAGACGTTTGCCTTTTACCCCACGATATCGGCAGAGTCGTCTATAGTGTTGTCGCAGCCAATCATCATGGCTGCCATCAGACTGGCAGCGTATAGTGTTCGGCGATGAATCCTGCTTCACTCTTGAAGCAGATGACCACCGTGTTCGTGTCTGGGGAGGACGGGGCCAGCGGTCCCAATCAGCCTTTGTTTTACAAAGGCATACAGCCAAATAACCCCTGGTGTGATGGTGTGCGGCGCTATTTCTTATGACAGCAGTATCTTTAGTCATCCTCTGTACACCTTTAACAGCTCAAAGATATGTTGATACCATCCTGCGGCCAGTTGCATTACTCTTCAAGGCACGTCATCCTGGGGCCATTTTTCCAACAAGATAATGCCAAACCACATACCGCTCGCATATCTCTGGACTGTCTCCATGCGGTTGATACTCTTCCTTGGCCAGCAAGGTCATCAGACCTTTCACCAATCGAGCATGTTTAGGACATAGTAGACCGTCAGATTCGGGCACTACAAAATATCGCAGATCTGGAGCAACAGCTGATGAATGCCTGGCAGAATGTGTCGCAGGATGACATTAGGAACCTCTACCGCTTCTTGCCTCTACGAATTCAAGCATGCATTGCCGCTAGGGGTGGTTCGACAAACTACTAATTTAACACTGAATGGGTGATTGTGAGCATGAACTGGTATTATGACCTTGATTTTTAATAATTTTATTATCTGTGTATGAGCTATACACATATTCAATTTCATCAAAAACAACCACTTCCTTCATGGTGCTTCGAATTTTTTGCAAAAGAGTGTAATTATTATGCTTCTACAGGTGTATAAAGTTATAAAGTAAAGTGTTTGAGACTGAGCAAAAGATGCATTTAACTTTAATTTGTAATAATAAGTTTTCAATACACAAATGATACATAAGCCTGTATGACTTATGTATCTTTTCATAAAATAAAATCACAACTATAAGACACTGACATCATTAACGGAAGATTTTTATTAAAAAAAATCATATTAGTGATTTTGCTTTCCTGAAAGGAAGATTAATCAAACTATAGTAACACAGTAATCAAACCACAATTACAAGATGCCTGAAAACAGGTATAATAATTTTTTTAGTACATCGGTGTTATTTTAATTTTATGCAACTATTTTGCATATTATTTTGTTCCTATACGTTTTGTTATTATGACCGAATAATCAATAGACATACATTTTAAGTATAAATCAAAGAAGTAACTTGGCACGATTCTGGTACTTAATTTGAAATGAACTCTGCAAATTAAAAGAGAAATCGTAGTATAATATTTGGAGTTCTCAATTTTCAAAACATGTTATTTGCAGCGTTTCATTCTGTTCATATATTTAATCTGTTACTAGCATTTCCATTAAACCAAATTGAAAAATCCCTACTAATATTAAAGTGAAAATTAAATTTATTATAAGGATCAAGGAAGTTCAAATTATAGAGTTCTTAGGCATTGATGCTTTTACCTCCACATCATCGAAAGAATAAAGTTATTGTCATCAAAAGAGGAGATTTTCTAATACTGTAAACATTTTGATAAGCCTTCACACTGAGGAAAAGGTAAAAACTCAGAAGGTCTAAGGTATTTCTCCCGCCGTCGTGGTGTAGTTGTCAGCACACTGAGCCGGTATTTCAGAGGTCTGTGGTTCGATTCCCAGCGAAGGCGACAGCTAATTCATCTCGTCTGCTTTAAAAAAAAAAAAAAAAAAAGTTAAACTAACTAAACATTATCAATATGAGTGATTCTTACAGTTTAATATAATACATACTGTAATGGTTCACTATATCCTTTTCAAATTGTTGCCACCAAATATCATCGCCCTGTATTATTTTTAAAGGAATTAAAGAAAGATTTTGCACGTATGAATGTGTGTTTCTTGCATTTTGAAAACACGACGGTACCTAATTAAGCCATTAAAGTTTGAATAACGTAGTCCTCCACCCGAATATGTGCACCTGGAAACCCAAATTTTGATTTTCCAATTTGTCTTATTATTTATTTCATGCTTTTAAAAATTTTAATGAATTTTTTATTAACAAATTTAACGATACGAAATCGATAAGTGGTAATACTGTTCGAAGTAAAATATTTTTATCTCAGCTCATGAGATTATTGCCAATCGAAAAAATGTAAGATAGTTATTTATCTTTCAATTTTAATTAACCAACTCAACTCTATGAAAGCAATGCGTTGCCACTGCCGGAAGTAATTCTTTTTTTAAATCATCCACTCGCCAGCGTGTTGCTCATCAGTAAAGCTTAAAACACTTTCAAATTTAATTTGGAAGGTTACTGAATAATTAGTTAAGTGATTTAAAACCAATAAGTGCAATTCCTTTTTTCATACATTTTAATGTGATAGATTTAAATAAACACGTTTTAAAATCATGGCATGTTCAATTAGAACTGTTAAATATTTTTTTTTAAATTAAATTAGCTGGATTCATTAAAATCGTTATGTACTTTTTCTAAGATAACTTAAGGTGGCTGTTTGCATGAGAGGCTAGTTTTGAAAGAAATGATATTGCGAATATAAAAGTATGGCAAATTCAAACACTCTATCTGGAGTTCTAAAGATATGCTATTTTTTAAATATATTGTGATTTTGCTGTCGAATTGGATTTTCTGTAAGCGAGATGATTTTGCGGAAAAAGACAGATTCCCATTGAAAAGTCAGCCCTTTTTCCATTGTATTAACAACAATAAATTATCTTTTAATTTCTAGTTTTTTTTATTTTATAAATTAGTAATATTATTAATCAATGGAATTTAATACTTCTAAATAAGTTTTATTTTCCTTAGTGTAATCTCAATTTTCTAAGGAATTAACTTTAGCAAATCTCCTATTCCAATAGTTTTTCTCTTCATTTTATAGGGGATGATCAAAATTAATAATTTATAATCTTTTAGCCACTTTAGTACTTGATTTGACTTTGAAAATTCATTTACCTATTTACTACATGAGTTAATTATATATTAATATATTTTACATCAGAATCATAAACAATTCAATAATCTGAATCATGTATTATAATGTGAATTCAAAACAGATTAGAGTTATTTTGAAATAGCATCATCCTAATTCAAGAGGGAAGGAATATGGATTGAACCATTATATATTAGGGTAATAACCTTAACAGGATTCTCCGAATATTTTGGGTACTAATCTTTAATTGCGGGTTGATTCTGTGTCACATTTCCCCTCCGCAATCTTATTTTCTATAGGAAGCAATTATTGATCACTTGCTAAACATGGAATGGCTATATAAAAGCACTTTTCTGCTAATATATTTTAAAATCCTAGTTGTGAAACATGCAGTGTGAACGCTACGAAACTGTAGTTGTGAAAGATGCAGGTTTTTTATCCATTGTAAATTATAAGGCAGAAAACCTGCATGTTTTCATTTCTTTACATTTAACCAAGGTTTGGTCTTGTGCAAAATGGTCTTTTTGCACTTTGGCAGCTGAGGCTGATGGTTCGGTAAAACCATCGAAACTAGTCCTGTGAAAATTTGCATACATAACGCTGATTTTTGTTATTTAACTTCTAAATCATAAACTATCAGTTATACTACATAAAAGTTTATGGCCAAATTTTTTTTTTAAAAAGGGGTGGAACAAGTATCATAGTTCAGATCTTTTGTTTGTATTCCATCAATGTTTTGAGTTTTATCAAGAGAATACTGAACCCTAAAACTGTTGAAAATGGTACTTTCTTTAACTGTACACCTTAAGCCCTGAATGATTCTCTGAATTTCATTCACAGTCTTGTTCAGTGGTCTTATTTAATCGGTTACTGCTGCACCTGATACCGAAAAGGCGTGGAATAAAATACCATTATTAACTGTATGAAAGGTTTTCTTACACATTGGGAATCAATACTCAAAATTCACAGTCCAAAGAAAAAAACTATCAAAAAATTAAATAAATAACTTTTTTTTAAATTAATGCATTATAATGCAAGAAATACATTTTAAAAATGTGTAAACAGCCACTGTATTAATCTCTTTTGCACAATTATATGTTCACTGGTTCAGTCTGCTGAATACTATTGGCTGACTGTTGATGATTTTAATGATGGCAAAATACATTAGATCTACTTGTTTAAGAAAAAGTTTACTTGTTTAAGACTACTTGTTTAAGAAAAAGTTTACTTGTTTAAGACTACTTGTTTAAGATCTACTTGTTTAAGAAACAGATAATAAATCTATTCAGCTATAAAACTTATAAAATAAGTAAATCAGCAGTTAAGTTTTCTTTTTTAAGATTTTCTTCTTCAATAATTTTACTTTAAATAAATACCATAGAACTTTGTTAAAAAAAAAATAACTTAATAAATGTAGCTAAAATGTAGAAGGCGGAAAGAAGTTTGGAAAGGAATAACATAAATTTAGACAATAAACAAGAAAGTAAACTATTTATTTAAACAAAATGAATTTTACACTTGTGATAAATAACACCCTAATACATACATGAAAATGGTATGTATTTCAATATTTGGTCTTTCATTAACATGTTAAATGTATTGAAAATGGACAGCTAAATAAAGTTTTTCTCAACTTAAAGTCTTTGCATTAACAGTTGTTTTGCAATACACTTTCTTTCTTTTTTAGCCAAAATTTAATATGTTCTGGAAGGTATTGTCTTCCTTCCGATTCAATTCCAGATTTGCATGTACATTCAATTTTTTTCTGTAAAGGACCTAATTCATTTAACTCGGAATTTTCTTTTTCAGCAATACAGTAAGTTTTACATTGTGCCAGTCTGCAAGAATGTATTTCATTGATTATGCACAGATTAGGTTCAGCAGGTTCAGCTGCAGATGTCAAGTCTGAATTCACTTCATGTTTTCTTTCAGGATGCTGAAATTTTCCATGAGAGTCATTCTTATTCCCACTAAATTCTATCAACTGTAACATTGTTAAATCTGTATTTATCTTATGAGACTCTATGAGATTATAGTTTAAATCATCATTTTCAGATGCAATATCAGGACAGGTTTCATGCTTATCTTCAGCATTTTGTATGGTATCCGAATCATCACTTTTATAATCCACTTGCTGAGAACTTTCTGGACTACTGTGCTCATATCTATGAATATAATGACTTCTATTCTCATTATGTTCTAGTGGCATTTTTACATTATGCAACTTTATGTTCTGAAGTTTTTCAGAAAAGTTATTTAATTCAGGTTTAGTTGTAATATTATCTTGTTCATCTTCAGGATTAGGCTCTCCAAATTCAGAATTAACACATATCTTGTCCTTTGGTTTTTCAGTAGAATTAAATTCTTTTTTTATATCACTTTGCTCTTGAAGTTTCTTTAGTAAAATCTCTTGTTCCCTATAGTGATTATTAAAATCTCTATAGAATACATTCTCACTTTTCTTCAACACTTTCTCCCTTTCTTCTATTTGTTGTTCTCTGTTTTTTAGGATTTCCCATTTTGCTTCTATCCAATACTCTTTATCTTTTAATTTTTTGTGTACAGCATTCAAAGTGAATTCCCAGTTAGCTAGTTCAAGTTTCTTGTCATCTAATTTGTGGGCATATTCATCAAGCTGATGTTTCTTGTATCGTAGAAAGCTATGCAGAATAGCCATTTTTTGCTGCTCTTGTCTCATTAGATACACTTTTTCCCTCAGTAATGTGACATTTTCATTTAATTCATCTTCAAAATTTTTTGAATGGCTTTTAGTTACAAATGAATGACATTGTCGTCTATACTGAGGAGTGCCCAAATTCTGCATATTAGATGTTCCGTTCGTACCTAGTTATGATAATGAAAAAGGTGTATTAGACAGATTATAATTTCCTTCTCTCTCATAGAATATATACAATTCTGAAAGACAGTACAGCTTGAACATTTCTGTAACTACATTTCTTTTAAACGTAAAAAAAAATAAGAATGATAAACAGAATGTAATCTCACACAGCTGACTGAATAATCCTATATGAGCGAAGTTATTTCCCTTCAAAAGGCAAAATGAGACCGAATTTGCTTTACTAATACTAAAATTGTATCCAAACATATAAAAAAGATAATGAAATATTTGCATTAAAATTTAGACATCAAATCCTTTGTCATTACATAAAACATTTCATATATACATTTCATTTCCATAAAAACAAAAATTTCTGTAACAAAAACTTATACTAAATAGGAAGTCAAGACATCTTGAGTTTTATCAGATCCATGCAAAATTATTATATTTGTCATGCTTACCATGCTAAACATTATATTTTTTATTTGAAATATTACTGTAAAAGCATTACAGTCAATTACTGATTTAACATGATAACATGAAAAGGCAGTAAAAACTCAGGAAAGAGGAGGAATAACAAATAATTCATAATGAGCAGAAATACACTGGTACTTTACAATTATTTCTATCCTTTTCTAATTATCCATACCCTAAAGAAAATTCGGCAATTTGCGATTTTGTTAATTAAAGAAAATTGTGCGGCAGTTTTATAGCTTATAAGTACTCTACTGTTCTGTCTATAGATAATAAAAATTCTAAGAAACACGAAATTTCATGACCCCACCCCCCAAAAAAATATCCATGTGGCTAAATTGTTATGGCCTGTGCATACTATTCAGCAAAATCATTAAAGCATATAAATCTATGTGGACTTAAACACATGGCATTTGGTGAGTTGCTATTGTCCTTTGTATACTCAAAATATGCTGAAACTGGGGTGCAGATAATCAGAAAGTACTAAATATTATTAAGCACTTATCTCTATTTTCAAGCAGTTTAATATATAGAATAAGTTCATTTGATTATCTAAATTTAATTAAAAAAATATTATTGGATGTTATGTTTGTGAACGTCATCTTCTTTCATTGTAAACAATGAAAAGCCAAGCATCATTAGAAATTAGAAAAATAAATTATATCTGGCATTAAAGAATAATATTTACAAAAAAATGTACACAATGTCATTGTGTTCAAAATAACATACAACATTAAAATTTAGGTAAAAAGGCAATCTTAGCATGGTGCAGATTTTGAATAAAACTCTCAGATTTTGACAGCAAACACACCCACATCCCCCTCTTTCCTCCCCCCTCAAATGAGTGATAATTGTTTTTATATTAAAATACAAACAAAGAGGAGAATGGACATAATGCCATTCATTAAGCAAAATAATAATGGATTATGTAAAACTAAGATATTAAAATTTGAAAACATTAGGAAGGACTGCATTGGAATTAATGGATCAAATTTAACCATACTTTTAATTTACCTATATAATTTAGAATTAATGTTAGAAATAATTACATCTGTTCAAAAAATATAAAATATTTACCTTTTACATTCTCACATAAATCATGTAACAAATCATTTGCCATGGATTTTCTACGGTCATCATCAGAATTAGATTTTTCAGCATTTAGATACAAAGATTTTGCATCATTTTCATAGGTAAAAGATCCAATAAATGTTTGTTCAGTGTTATCCTTGAAAAAACAATTACGCAGGAAAAATAAATTTTGTTTATTTTAAAATTAGCATCATTTATTAAAAATAAAATTTAAAACTATTTTCCAAACTGTATTCTGCAGAAAATATTATTTTTTCTCTACATTTTTATACAAATTAATTTAGATATATGATTCAATGTATTACTATATTTACTAGCACATTAGATCCATTTTTCTTGTTTTACCTCTTGAAAATTGAAATGGCCTAGTTACATAGTACATACCGTTTCTCAAAGGATGGTTTAATGAACACATTAAGACAAGTATAAAAAGGTGTATTAATATTACTGTACTGAAAATAAGAGTTACTTTTATTATATTCTTTTTAATTACACAATATGCATTCTTATCTGTGCATACATTTTTTATATTGTAATTCTAAATCAGGAATGCTGAAAAAACTAGAAAAACTATTGGAATAAATGCAGTATGACCGAGCAAGAGTAAAGAAAACTTTTTAAAATCATATTTTTATGTAATATCATACATAGTCACTATTAATTACCAGCATTCATTCTTAGTACACAGTGTTATTACTTTTGTATTTCTAACAGATGAAATTTATATAATTTTGAAAGAAAGTGGATAAAAATTTTGAACTCGTTTTAAAACTACTGATTATTTTCAGAAGTTAGTTGCAATATTAATGAATAATACCTCAGTGATTTAGACTGCATTAGATTAGTACTAGTATTCATTAATTTCATACTCATTATTTTAAACCAGTGGTTCCCAAAGTGGTCCCTATGGACCACCAGAGGTCTTCAGTATCATTCAGGCAGGGTCCGTGGAAAATTTTAATTGATTTGGGGTCCCTGAATGACATCAGGGGGTTTGCACAAGTTTAATATAAAATAATAAAATTGTGATTCATTTTTATTTTCATGGAAATTTAAATAAACAACAACAAGTAAAATAGTAGCGATTTTTACATCCTGAAGAAAATATAAATATAGGTGGGTGCTTAAAATACAGTACGTTACTTAAGTACTGAGTGTTATGTAATAACTTTTGTGAATGAAAGTGACAAAACATATTTTCACTGATTTGTCACTTGTAGTAAAAGTGGTGTGCATAACTTATTTTAATGTTATTACTAAAACTTAGTTATTATTCAATTTACTTCAGTAAATTTAGGCTTTCAATTTTCATCAACATGATAAGAACAATGCAATAATGAAATAATAAAAAACTGAGATAATCCCTCGAGAATGGGAAAAATAAATAAATAAATAAATAAAAATAAAAATAAAAATAAATAAATAAAATAAAAATATATAAAAAATTGAAAATAAAAAAAATGTTACACACACTTATGAATTAATAGTTCTAGATGGTGCCAGCTACTTGAGTTAATAACAAGCACGACATGGTGTGAGACAGATGGCCGAAAACAGGTTTGCACAGAAACGCAATAACGGCGCTACATACATGAACTTAAACATAAACTATAAAAGAGTTATACAGCTAATCAACAATTTAGTTCTATGTTATGCAGATAAGAAGAGTATAAACAAATTCTCCCAGTCTTAGACAAAAAGAAATTTTGTATTGTTAGTTGGAAGTTTTGATATAGTTGCATTTTTGTATTGTTACGCAGATAAGTGTACTTTTGTTAAATAAGTATATTTGAAAAAATTTATCACTTTTGAAAAAAATTATATATCATATTTTTCAATGTAATAATCCCTTTACCTAACTAACATTAAGGGATTAACAACAGTGTTAGTTAAAGTACTAACAATATAGTAATCCCTTAATGCCAGATTTGGTACAGTTGCATTTTTACTTCCTTGTACAAAGTAAAAAGGAAGTATTGTAATTGCAAAAAGTTTCAGGCAGCATATTTCAACGAAAATATCCATTTTGACCGCTATCGAATGCAATTTAACGATGTTTTCGCATGGTATCCGTACGTAAGGACAGAATAAAAGACTCGTTTCCTCCAAAAAATTATAAAACTGCTTTAAAATTAACTCTGAAGAGAATTTTTTCGTGGCGTCTGTACGAACGTATGTATCTCGCATAACTCAAAAACGAGTAGCCTCAGAACGTTGAAATTTTGTATACTGGACTGCAATAACATGTAGATGTGCACCTCGTATTTTGGTTGCAATCGGCTGCACCAAACGTATATAAATATATTTATATATCCACTCTGTTACCCGGCTCAGTGATCTCAGTTTCTTTACTTGTATATGTTTGTAAATTGTACATTTTTTGCTTTAAAAATGATTGAATTATGTTGTTTTTATCTTCCGGTTAAGGTTTTTATGCCTTTAGTAAATTTGTATGCAATATTTTTAGAATTATCAACAATTTTAAAGTTGTTTAAGTGCCGCTAAGCCTTTTTTTTTATGTCGGCCATTGATTGTTTACATTTGAAACAGCAGACTAGTGGATTTGTTGCCAATCTAGAGAAACTTAGCTTCGCAACAACAAATATAACGTCTTCATTTATTATTGCCAATTAAATCATGCTTAATCCTTTCTGTAATTTTTTCGAGGAAATAAGTGTTTAAGATTTACTTCGTAATTTTTAATATAGATATTTTCATTTTTTATGTATTTTGCCTTCTCGCGAAGTGAGAACTGAATTAATTGAATGAGAAATACTCAATCGTCTGTGAAAAACTTTCTTTTTTGTTTTGTTTGCTTAATTTCTTTTATGCATCATTCTAGTTTTATTATAGTATTTGAATAGAACATGTGGCAAGGATTAGATAATTCTATTCTTTAAATGATATAAATTTTGTGCATTATGAGTTATAATATGAACGAAATATAATACTGTTCTTACGAACGAAATATAAATCTAGCGCCAGAGTGTCGCTATGGTAAACAAATACTAGAGTGAATTTTAAAGAATGCATTTATTATACTGTGTTTTATGCACTGTTGGCGAAGTAGATTTCATTCAATCTAATAAGTTTAAATGAAATGCAAGAAAAAATGCATATAATTTAATATTCTGTACAAGGAGGTCATGTGGTGTACACATCAGATTTTTTATATTGCTATGCAGATAGTGTACTTTCACTACTTTTTTTTTTTATTAAAAACTTAGGAAGAGATTGTAAGTCTTTTTTAATACAGATGTTTTTTTAAAGAGTTAATTATTGAGAATTATATATTATTCAAAAATTACAAGAACTTTTATCCTTCATCAAATAATTCAAAAAGGCTTTACTGCAGCATTCCACTGAAAAAGTTAATAATAAATGATAGTGGTTTGTTGCAAATAATACATTTGATATACAAATTTTCCTATATCCTTTTTTGTCCCTTTTAACAGTTAACAGTATGAGTAAGACGAAGAAAAAATGCCGATAATATGGAGTTGAATATTTGAAGTATGGCTTTATTTAATCACCAGGAAATAGTACTTTACCTATGTGTCTTCTATATAATAAAACTATGTCAAATGATTCAGTGAAACCTTCCAAGCTTAAGGAACACTTAATAAAAATCCATAATGAAAAAAAGATAAGGATTTAACATTTTTTTCAAACAGTCAAAGAAAAATTTTGAAAACATCGTTACTGTAAAAACTCTTAGGGACAACATCTAAGTGAGATGACTATGGATTGTATGCTTTTTATAACATTTTTTTAATGATTGCAAAATCCAGAAAGCCATATACTATTGGTGAAGAACTTATTTTACCAGCTGTAAATGAGGTAATGCGCAATGTCTTGCACAAACCAGCTTTCGACATTATAAAAAGAATCCACTGGGTAATACAGTCAAAAGTCGTTAATTCGGACACCCATAATCCGGAATGATCTATAATCCGGACCTCAAAGCTACAAACTTTCTGCACATGCGTCGCTTTGATGCATGCGCGTAAGACCTTTATGGCTGCGAATAAGCCTGTGCGCGTGAGCAAAATACTTTTACGAATGCGCGTTTAATGTATAACGGACGGTATAAGCTAAGCTAAAATTATCTAATTCAGTTAATGTTGCAGATTGCGTTGTTCCTTAATCTTCTAATTGGATCCGGCTTATTATTTTTTGCAGACTGTTAGAGCAATTTTATAAAAGTAAGCTTGAACTTTCGATTATGTCAAAAAGAATTTCCGTTTCTGGAGCTATCAAAGGATCTACAAAGCGAAAGCATGTTCCGATGTCCATCAAACAAAAAGTGAAATTGCTGCAAAAAATGGATAAAGGCAAAATATTAAATAAAATATCCTAAATATTTAAATTTGCTAACAGTTTCAAATTTGTAATTCCCAATTTCAAAATAGGGGCTGCTGTTATTACCACATGGCATGTACTTAGTTTTATTTTGGTTGATAGCTAGATGCATTTTGCTGGCTGTGGCCTCTAGAGATGTAAAAGCCTCTCTAAGTGACTCGTGTGTGCGACTATGTCAATATCGTCAGCAAATGCAAAAATCTGAACAGACTTGTTAAAGGTAGTTTCACGAGTATTAAAATAGGATTCTTTTATGATTTTTTGGAGGGTAAGGTTAAAAAGCAAGCAGACCAGTGCATCACCCTGTCTGAGCCCATTTGAAACAACAATAGGCTCTGAGAGATTATTCTGAATTTTAACCCTAAGTTTGTAAGGTATTTCTCCCACCTTCCTAGCGTGCCTTTGTGTAGTGGTTCTGCACAGGTATTCCAGAGGTCTGCGGTTCAATTCCCGGTGAAGGCGTTGCTCATTTTTCATTTCTCTGGCTTTTCCAATTAACCTAATGTCTCTACACTTTTGTCTCAGTAAGAGTAATGGTGACAAAATTTATAAGTTCAGGTATTGCAAATTCTCTCATAGCTTCAATTAAATACTTTCTGTTTACTGAGATGCAGGCAGTCTTAAAATCAACAAAAAGGTGGTGTGTTGTTATGCCATATTCATTAGATTTTTCCCAAATATGCCTAATGTTAAAGATTTGTTCTGTTGTAGACCTTCCTTTGCGAAAACCCCATTGGTAATCACCTACAATGTTTTCTGTATAAGTTACTAGTCTACTAAAAAGTATATTGGAAAATAGTTTGTAAAAAACACAAAGGAGTCTTGCATCTTAACGTCTTACACAAACAATTACATTTATAATGAATAATACTATGAGAACTACAGAAAATAATTATTTATAGTATAAAAATTAAAAAGTTATAAAATCTTTTTAAGATATTAATGAAGATATAATCTTACTTTAGAATTTGATGGTAGACCTATTTCATGGTACATCTCAAAATTTTTGTTGGCCAAAGAATTTTCATTGACATTTGCATCGACTGTTTCTGGTACTGTTTCTTTAATTTCTTCATCAGAAGAATTAAATAAAGATGCATTTAAGTTTCTCATTATATTGTTTGATGCAATGATAAAAGAAGATTCATTACATGCTTGTGGACTGTTTGCTGCATTTATATAATCAACATCAATCTTATCATAGAAATTTCTTATATCTGTTTCAGCATTACAGTAATGATTCTCATTAAAAGTAGTTTCAGACGATTTAGCATTTCTAGTTTCTGCTACCACATTTTCATCCTGAAAATATTAAACAATTATTTGCTGAAGAACATTAAAAGCTTATTTATTTTTAAGTGCATAAATACAGGCATGTGCAATATAAACACCCTCCCTCCACCTCTCTCTCTACATATATATATATATATATATATTATTATTATAAAGAATACTTTATATATTATCTCCAAGAAACAGAAATTCATTTAAAGCCATGAATTATTATAAGAAATAAATTTTTAGACATTATTTTAATTACTATTTTAAATCAGTATAATCTAATCCTGTATTGCAGTAAAAACCATTTAAAACCTGAAAAGAAAAATTCTTAATCACAGCAATTCCAAACTCAAAAGTAAAAAAAAAATTAAATACTGAAAATGTAGTTAATGTTATTGGTCGCAGATTAAATTGACTTGTCAAAGGGAACAAACCAATCTACTATCCATTGGCAATAACACACTTAAGTGATAGTGTTTCATCTTTTTTTTTTTTTTTTTTTTTTTTTTTTTTTTTCAAAAGGACAAAATTATTATTTTGTAAAAGCTAGATCATAAATTATGAACAAAACTCAATTAATAGAAAAAAATTAGTCCATTTAAGCCAAACGACCTGTCATAAACTAAATAAATATATTTATATGTATATGTCATTACTAAATAAAAATGATTTAAATATTCTTTTCAATTTAAGTTATTTGTTATGAACAACATTACATGAGATACTTACTTGAGAAAAAATATTCCCCAACTCTCATATTTAAATTCAAAATCAAAAGATCGAAATTTACATAATCTTTTAAATTAAAGTTTATAAGTTACTTCATTTCAACAGAATTCTAACTACCTTTATCAAAGGCTAAAAATACTTTAGATGCATACTAATAATACATAAGGAGATATATACTAATATTATCCATTAGCAAATAATCTTTTGCCTAAGTATTAGGCAATTTATTACGATTAATTAAATTATTTACTTATATGTATATATATAAAAAGGGTGTTCCATATTGAATGGGGCAAAAAGAATAATACAAATTCTGTAATTGATCTATTAAGCCAAAACAAATTCTGAAACTACAGTTATATAAGTTTTATCTGCAACAGTAAAAAATCTTATGATTATGAAATCGCTGCTAGAGGCACAGTTAACTAAAATGGCCCTATCCATGCAGGAGGAAGTGTACTTTGTTTTAGGAAATGCCAATACATCATCATTCAAAGAAATTTTGACATGAAATTTGATAAAGAACCATGCATTGTCACAACATCGAATGGTGGGTGAAGCAGTTTCAGAACACAGCTACCTGCATAAGAAAACCAGCCCAAGACAAACAGCAGCACAAACTGAAGGGACTGAAAAAATTCGTGAAATGTTTTTACTCAATGTGCCTGATGTAATGGAGTGCTGAGTGTTGCAGAAACGTTTACATTGCCAGCCATATGCCTTTCCGATGGTGCAGTTGTTAAAAACCTTCTGACAAACCACTGCATAAAGCAGGGTTCATAGCCACATTTTAGTTAAAAAAATAAGCACCTATCAGCACTTTTCAAGCACATTTTAAGAAAAAAAATAAGCACCTGTCTAATGACATTATACACAACTGCATAACCTTAAAAATTAGACTTGTAATTTAAAATATGAGAAATGCAGTATTTATTAAGAGAGAATAAGCATCACCTCAACCATGGAAAATAATTACTTTTTCTTTTTCTTTAAATTTTAAATAACAGTTCAATTTACAGAACTAGTTTACAATGAGAGGGAAAAAAACTATGCAAAAACTAAACTACACTGGTATGCAAAAATTAAGGATGAAGTCGAAAAATTGCCATATCAGCTGAACGAAGAGGCAGAGCGGACAGAAAGACCAATCAGGAGATTAAGTAAGGTGATGTACGGTAGCACATGCGCAAATATGCAGGTAGACGTAATGGGGGAGTGTCTGAGTAGTATAAAGCATGTTGTTGGTGTAAGATCAGTATTTCTGGCAAAGAGATTGCACGCCGTATAGCAGTTAAAATCACACCGAGTTGCTGCCTCAGCGAAAAATGGCGAATAATCAATCTGTTAGACGACAACTGGATGCTTTTACCCGAGGTCGAATCATTGGGAAGTTGGAGGAAGGCCGCAGTGTGACAAGTGTGGCTGCAGAGTTCGGAATTGCTCACAGCATCGTTTCACGACTTTGGAGACAATTTCAAACTACAGGAACAGCTATCCGGGGGTTTAGTAGTGGTCGTCCACGAGGAACCACACCCGCAGATGACCGGTATATTGCCTTACAGGCCAGAAGAAACAGGCGACAGACAGCGGGAGAAATCGCTAGACACACGACAAAGGTGACTGGACGACCGATATCGCGTTTTACCGTGGCCAGAAGACTGCACGGTGGTGGTCTGTTGGCACGACGCCCTGTACAGTGTGTACCTCTAACACCTGCCCATTGGAGAAGGTGTTCTCTGTGGTGCCAGGAACACTGGAATTGGAGAGACAATGAATGGGGACGAGTACTCTTTACAGATGAGAGCAGATTCAGTCTGAGTAGTGATTCTCATCGCATACTCATCTGGAGAGAGCGGGGAAGCCGCAATCATCCCTCGAACATCATTGAAAGGGACAGGTATGGAGGTGGCGGTGTTCTCGTTTGGGGAGGCATCATACTTGGTAGTCGTATAGACCTTCACATCTTCGACGCAGGTTCAGTCAACGGGACCCGTTATTGTAACGAGATTCTTCTTCCATATGTGCGTCTTGGAAGCAAAGTAATTTAAGTAAAAAAGAGGAACTTTTCTGAAATCAGAAGACAGAAATTTGCTTCATGCAGTCATCCTTTAACAGTAAAAGCTTAACTAACTCGCATACTTGGAAACTGGCGAATATTCGGACAGTGAAACTTGAAAATGAGGAGCGGAGGGGGGGGGGGGAGACTGTAGCCGCTTTTTAGATTTTTCCACTAAATAAATGCTTTTGACATTTCGATATGTGCATCATACAAAAATAAACCAATGGAACTGAAAAATATTCTGCTTAGCAAGCACAGTAAAATTATTTTAAGTGTTCATAAACAAATCTCGGACAGAACATCAAAATTAATTATCTCTGCAAAATATCGCAAACGTTATTGCGCAATACGTGTGCCGCAATTCTTCCCTAAGTGATATTACGCAATCGGAATCAACAGCTGCCGGTATTGGGAGAATAAAGAACTAAATACGAGTAAGTGGGGTGTTTTTCATTCTAATTTTCAACAGACAGCGTTAAATTTCCGGAATAGGATCATTCTTCGCTTGGGTTGGTAGACCGCAGAACTTTTAGTCCTATTCAATCCAGATTGGAAAGTAACAAAAAAAAAAAAAAAAAAAAAGGTTCGTTGCTTGTTTTGCAGCGAACTTGTAACAGCTTCAATATTCGAGATTTTGCGGAGAAGGGGAGAACCTCCCAATCTTCGTACTATATAATGTATTGGCCAAAAAAATGAAATTATTTTGACTATTCGATTACTTTCCCTTTATTTAAGCCATTCCGAATACTATTCCTAAAAAGCTAATCTGCGTTAAAACACAACCATTTTTGGAAGTTTACTATACTTCAGCAGTTACTGCATTTATATATTATTTATATGTTATTATAAACATTCATACATATACTCATAATATAAGCATAATAATCATAATAAACACAAATATGAACTGATCAAGCGGAACGAGAATGCAAATTATTAAGATCTGGATAGAAATTCAAACGTGTGTAGTATTTGGGTGGAAGAAAAAGAATGCCGAATGTACCGAAATTTTCTACTGCTTTCGCAATTCTTTGACCAATAGAATGACGGGCACCTGTCTGTACTCTTCGTGCACACCAAAGGTTATGTTAATGCAGAGAAAGGGGGAAAAGCAATTTCCAGGAGTATGATTCACCATCTGACATTCCATATTAGGAAGAAAAGTTGTTTATTTCGTTTCAGCTTTGGTACGGGGGGAAAATAGCGCGTTCAAAAAAAAAGCACTAAAAGCAAAAAATAAGCACTAAATAAGGGCTTTAGAGAAAAAGTAAGCACCTATAAGGGCCTTTATATTTTATTTTCAAATATAAGGACTTATATGCACTTATAAGGACCGCTACGAACCCTGTAAAGCTTTCTGTCAGAATTTTCATGATAAGGAGACTTCACAAACAGACTTGTGTTTACGGATGAAACCACTTTTCACATTTGTTACAAAATTTATCACCCTAATTTATGATTTTGGGGCATGGAAAATTCGCACGGTGTTATAGAAAATGAGCATGATTCTCCAGAGGTGAATGTTTTCTGCACCATTTCCAACAGTTCGTTTTTCTTTGTGAAAAAATAGATTAACGGGTGCATCAAGATACGCATGTTATCACAGTAGTTGTTCCCTTATTTGAAGAAGGCAGTTCTTGGCTTTATTCTGCAACAAGCTGATGCTCCACCACATCAGCATAAAAACGTATGCCAGTACCTGAACGATAGTCTACCTCATCACTGGACTGGGTGCACTGGATCAAATGATATGCCATTGCTTTACTAGCCATTGAGATCTTTAGATTTAACCCCCTCTGATTTTTCCCCATGGGGTGTTTGAAACATAAAGGCTATTCTATAGTGAGTGCGGCAGTGTCAGTGGAGGGGCACACACAGAACATCTGTAGAAACCTGGATAACTATAGTTTCACAGCAAATTTGATTTATCAAAATAAAGTAATTACAACATTCACAGGTATGCCAACTTTTTGTCCCATTCAATATGAAAATTTAATGGGAATATCCTTATATACAGTGAAAATCATTTAACACGAAACTTAGGGGACTGAAATATTTTTTGGGTGTTAAAAGAATTTCATGTTTTTTTTTTTTTTTTTTTTTTGTTAATTTTGTTGAATAATATATATATATATATATATTCAACAAAATTAATTTTATTTAAAGTACATTTTATTTACATAAATATGTACACATGCATATATTTAATATAAATCAGTGAAACAATATCATC